GCAAGGCGCAAAACACGCAAAGAAACCGGCTAAACTCCCCAATCAAACCAGTCCAAAGACTCATCAGCCACCTACCTTCACTTCCACGAGCCCCGTCTCGCGGATCTCTTCGAGGACTTCAACAAGCCTTACGCTTCGGCCTCTGCGGAAGCCATGCACGGCAACGACAGCCATCACACGGCGCTGGCGTCGTCCAACAACCCCCCCGGCTTGTCGTCGTACCTCCCCATTGAGGATATCTACGTTGCGCCGCAGTACCAGCCGCTGAACCCGGAGGATGAAGACGATGTCGTGCCTGATCAGCATGCCGAGTTTGGGATCAGGAGGGCGATGGATCCCGGTCAGAGGATCGTTTGGAGGGATTTGGGGTTGGAGGAGTTGATGAGGGGAATGAGGGTTACGAGTGGTGTGAAGGGGAGCGTGAGGAGGACGGCTGCTGCTGGGCAGAGGATGAGGATTGTTTGTTTGAGATAAAGTGATGGATTTCGGGCTGCTGGGTTGCAGTTTTACTCTGGCATGATACCATTTTGACATTGTTCTGAATTTTGTTCTACTATGCATTATTGATCGGGCTGTTTCCAGACCTCTTCATATCCTCGTTATATCGACTCTTGCCCTCGAAAATATCTCATGTGCCACCCTGTTGGCACTCTGTTCCTCCTCGCTCAGCTCTCTCCGGTGAAGGAAAATTTGAGCATATGTGCCTGGTGCTTTTCGTTTCGAAAGGACGCCGGGATTTATCACTAGGACGCTCTCAATAACCTATATCAATCATCAGTTAGCTTCTCATCGACGCGAAGAAAACACAAGTTCGTCAGGCAATTTCAAGAGCATACCTTAACAAATGGGGGCAACGTGCTAGGCGTTATCAAAACATCAGGCCTAACATTCCACCAATCTCCCAACTTCGCATAATTCACATCCAACATAGCCCCCGTCGCCAATCCCCCTTCGATGCCAGGTTTCGGCAAATTCGTCCTCGCGGACCCGGGAAACAGAGGGTAGAAGTGCCTCTGCTCGATCAGATACTTCGATAGCCTCGTCAACAGATTCTTCTCGGCGGGTCGTCCACCAAGAGCTTCCTCGTTGCGTAGTTCAGCAAGCACGTCGAGTGAGCATATACCCAAGATAGCTTCGTTGAACGAGACAGTCACTGGGTTGGAGACCATGCGGACTTGTTTTGGTAGACCAAGTTCCTTGCGAGACATCATTTCCTGCGGCCATGAGACGTGCTTGCTGGTCACGTCTCGCACGGAGGGGACCATTAGTATTGTGATGTTCGGGACTGCGTGTGCTAGTTGGATGATTGGTGTCGATATCGCGTATTTGAAGAATGTCGTCATGGTGATCTTATCTGGGTCGAGTCCCTTCATTGGGGGCATGTCCAATTCACCAGCTGCGATCAGGGGGTGTTCGAGATCGAGGAATGGGCCGAGAAGGACCAGGGTATCGATCGATTGCTCTGCGGCTTTTTCGCATATGGTTTGTAATGGCTCGAATTTGAGGTTATCATCGGCTGTGTATGGCCCTGCGGCGATCATGTAATTCAGAGGCTCATCGCCGACTCTTTCGTTGATACCTGCGAGGACTTCAGGGGTTGATGCAGCGGGTGGAAGTAAAGGCACGTCCAAGACTTCCTTGACGGTGAAATGATCCCCTGATACGTTGATGCCTCTGACTGCCACGATTTGTCCTGGGAAGAACTGAGCGTGTGGCAGCTCATCCACTTTCAAGGGAACTCTCAATCCCGCTCCCGTCCGCCTCGATGTTTCAAGCATGAGCGATGCAGTATTAAGTCGGCCCTCCGGACTATCACACGCTATCCTCCCAACCGCAACGATCTCCTTCGTACTCTGCTGCGCGGCAGATCCAAACTCGTCATCGTCGAGGTTATGCGCTTTCTGAACAACGTCCATAAACTCATCGATCCTATCGTCAAGGACTTCTGATGACGAGGATAGTCGCATGCCCATTGGTTTGTACCCAAACTTCTTCATGTCTGTGTTTGCTGTCGGACGAATACGTGCTTCGGAGTATGGTGCGATTGGCGGGTTTCCGCGAGCGAGATGACTGTTTAGTGATTCAATGATCTGCCCTGGATCGCGCCGTTCAGCGAAGGGACTTGATACGGCCCCCGGTGCTGCAGCGGGCGACGAGAAAGCTTGCGCCATAGGCGCATCGGTTGCGAAACGGGGGGATTTGCCATTGCGCGGAGTTTGGAAGGCTGATTTTCGTTTTGTAGATGCTGATGCTGGAGTGGTAGGGACGATGTCGTCGAGTCTTTGAGCAAGCAAATCAGCGATTGTCCTCAACAAGTCTTGAGCAGTGCATCGACGTACATGCCGAATATATCGACGCTTGCATTCGCGTTCCTTGACCTGACAGTTGCGCCACCCCGTCTGTTCTCCTGGTTGCGCACGACGTGTTTCGCGCGACTTTCGCGGTCAAGGGCTTCTTGAATGTCTCTCTTCAATTGGCGCACATTCTCCAATGTCAATCGCGTTTCCTCTGCGCCGAGCTTCATGCAGTACGACTCCCATTTGTAGAAGAGCTCTTGCGCCGAGATGGCGTGGAGGCGCTGTATGGACTGGAGCTCAAAGAGGATGTCCCGGGCGAGAGAGGAGGGATTGGCGGGCGAAAAGAGCTCGCGCAGGGTCTGTTCGTTCTCCATAATGCGCAAATCGATGCGACGAGGGGCCAACTGGCTGGTTTGATGTCAGCGCGGTGTTTCGCCAAATTTTCTCTCTTCTCTCTCTGTTCATGAAGATACGCGACATGGGCGCGTTGAACACCGCGGGCCGCGATGCTTCACCACTGAAACCGGGGAGCCACGAATACGGGCCTTAGCCTGCCTTAGCCTGAGCCCTGCTTGTCGCTGCTTGTCCCGTGTCCCGTCTCCAGTCTCCACTCTAGCGCTGCTCGTTCGCGTCAGCAGCAGCAGCCACAGCAGCAGCTCGTGGTGGTCGTGCTCGTCCGTAAACCTCCTGAACCCAATGCCGCCGGATGAGAAAGACTGAGCAGTGCCGGTGGATTTGGGTTTGCCCTATATACGGCCCGTGGGATCAATAATAATCAATAGAATCAATAGGAAACTGTCGAGACGCTTCACGGGGTTCGTTTTCCTTCTTGCTTCAAAAGCTTGCGACTTTCCCCCTTTTGTTGTTGCTGCTGCTGATGATATTGCTGTTTACCGCTGCTTACAGGGAAAATCATATAGACGCTTGACTTGAATTGAATTGCTGTGGTCTGCGCAGCGTGATATAGTATCAAAGCGCATCAATCGATCTCATCTCATAGCATCGCATCGCATCAGATTGTCGTCTGAAGGATCACACTTCGCACATAAGCAAGCGGACGCAGGTTTCACCGTCTCTCTTGCCATCGGACATCCTGCACAAATACGGTCGAGAAAACCAGGAATAAAGCGAGTACAAACAGCATGGCCGAAACTACCGCAGCCACTGACTCAAACGAGTCCTTCACTTCGTTCGACGAGTCCACTCTCCCCATTCAATCCAATGGCTCTGAGCCCGTCAAGCTCCCCTTCCGCAGCCCAACGTCGGACGCCACAGCCGTCACTCCTCCCGAATTAACTGAAGACCAGGAGGCAAAATACAAACAAATCCTTGACGCCGTGTTAGGATGGCAAGACCTCCCGACTACGACGAAGAAAAATTCCGAGAGGGCGCCCTTGTCAGAGAACGAACAGATGTGGTTGACGAGGGAATGTCTATTGAGGTATCTCCGTGCGACAAAATGGCATGTGCAAGATGCGCTCGCTAGGCTGGAGAAGACAATGGTTTGGAGACGCGAGTATGGTATTGAGAAGCACACGTCTGACTATATCAATGTCGAGATGGCGACGGGGAAAATGGTTGTTCAGGGATTCGATAACAATGGCCGCCCGTGCATCTACATGGACCCTTCTAAGCAGAATACAGAGAAGTCACCACGACAAATCGAGGCGTTGGTGTTTCTGCTCGAGCGCATGATCGATATCATGGAGCCTAGTCAAGAGTCCCTAGCTCTTTTGGTCAACTTCAAGAGTACGAAGATGTCCCAGGCGCCTGCTCTAGGGCAAGGGAAGGAGACATTGAATATCTTACAGAACCATTATCCTGAGCGTTTGGGTAGAGCTATGATCATCAATAGTGAGTTGATACTTCGACGCTTGTCCACTTCATCTTGCAGGGTTTCTGTCTCGTCGCTAACATCCCTGGCTAGTTCCATTCTTCATCAATGGATTCTTCAAGATGATCACACCTTTCATTGATCCTATCACTAGAGAGAAGCTCAAGTTCAACGAAGATCTCCGCACGCTCGTTCCCCCCACGCAGCTACTTCGATCTTTCGGCGGAGACGCCGTCTTCGAGTACGATCACTCCATATACTGGCCTTCCTTCATGGCGCTAGCAAATAAGAGGCGCGAGCTGTACAGACAGCGATGGGTGAAGGGTGGCAAGCGAATTGGTGAGAAGGAGAGTTACCTCAGGAGCGGAGATGAGAAGAGCATTTCAGAGGAGTCTGCGTGAAGACGAAGACAGCCCATCTATCTTCCTTTTCCCCTTAACAAAGCATATACATACTACAAGAGTCGTTCTTTGCTGAGCTTCTAGACTGCCTGTTCCTTTTCATGACACTGTCCCCTTCTATTCACACCGTTTGTTACCTCCATTGCAGTCTTCGTTTTCTGCGTTCTCTGCAATCAATAACTCGGTCCACACCTTGTTTGTTTTTGGTTTTGTATAGAATCTGCTCATATAAACCAGCATTGTCTTCAGCATCATTCAACGATCTCTCATTTCCGTGACAACTTCGAATACGAGCAGAAAGAAGTGACTCAGGGACGATCCATAGCGGACTCTACCATGGTAAACCGTTGATACGGTAGTATTTTGAGATATAACCGTACACAAAGTTCGAGGTACCAGAATCCGTATGGAAACTGAGAAGGAGTAAACAAGCCAAGCGAGAGAGAAAACAAAAAAGAAAAAACTGGTTGACAAGAGTGGGGTTCGAACCCACGCAGTGTTTCCACTAGCAGAGTTTCAGTACCTTCAAAAAGGCCGCTTAAATCTGCCGCCTTAGACCACTCGGCCATCTTGTCACAAACAGTTGATTTTTGTCTGATCTAGGTCTGATAAAGCAAACTAACAGTCTTGACTTCGATGGCCAGGCGTCTGAACGTCGATTTACGTGTAAATCTCCAGTGATTATGATGCTGAAGATGGCTCTAACATCTCAATCGGCAGCTCTGATGAGTACATGCGTGGGAAACGTTGCCAGAGATATCATGACTCAAAAAGTCATGCAATCGAGCGCCTGGAAATGCTCGATGGTGCGGCTTTAGCCAAGCTCCTTTCCCCTGAGCAGCACGGATGGTAGCCAAGACAGCAAACTTGAGAATGATTGTTTCGTCGCTCTTGGCTGACGTCTTTCTTTCTGATCCGAGTCGGCATCCTATCCGCGCCGTTACGACAGTGAACGACGTTCCCCTCCTTATACTGGCGGAAATTGTCGCCTGAAGGCGGATTCGTGAGATCAACCAGTGTCCGTATGCTCGGATTCCCTTAAATGCGTTACTCTCATGCGTGGTCGAGATCATTGCAAATGCCGGCGTGTGAGCAAATTCATCAAGGTACCATCTCAAGCAAAATCGGGATTGCAATGATGGACCGTGTGGATTTGAACATGATCCCTAGAGTGATACTACAAAGTAGTAAAAAAAAGCAAGAAAAAAGCAAAAAAGAAAAGAACGACGAGAGCAGGATTCGAACCTGCGCACCCGAAGGTAATAGATTTCTAGTCTATCGCGTTAGACCACTCCGCCATC